TGTTGCCTCACAGTGGTTAGCACTGTTGCCTCACAGTGGTTAGCACTTGGGTCTGATTCCAGCCTTGGGCAGCTGTCTGTGTGGATTTCCTCAGAGTTCCAGTTTCCTCCCACAGTCCAAAGATCTACAGGTTAGGTCGGTGAGCCACAGGAAATGCAGGGTTATAGGGATAGAGTGGTGGGGCTGTGTCTGGGTGGGATGCTGTTCAGGGGATTGGTGTGGACTCAGTGGGTTGAATGGCCTGCTTCCACAGTGCAGGAATTCTATGGTTCTGTGGTTTTTGAATGCAACCTATTAAAAATAAAACTTTTAATAGTGTTTTCAGCTTTCTCTAAACTTCTTTAATCTTTATTTTCCAGCTGGGACACAAGGTCAAATAATACTTCAAAACCAAGCCATTCCGTAGATGCGCACACAGCTGAAGTCAACTGTCTGTCCTTCAACCCGTACAGTGAATTTATCCTAGCCACTGGCTCTGCTGACAAGGTTAAAATTCTCTGTAGCAACCTTTATCAAACTTGTACAGTTCGTGTACTATGTTTCCATAAGTTCACTGATAGTCCTGTAATCCCAACAGTTCTGTTCCAAGGATGGTCACACTGACTGCAGGTGCAGCAGATATGAGAATTTGGGGTTAAAATTGAGGCACCTCAGCCAATGCAGTTGTCCAGTAGTTTTGACGTTCTTGTAAACTGCGCAGGTGAGAGGTGGGGACCGCAGTGAGTATGAGCGAACTGACCACAGAACCTAGGTATTGAGACCTATTCAAGTAGGTGAAGGAAATGGGAATGTAGTAGTGGTGGGGGATAGTGTAACTGGGGGTGGATAAATACAGTTCTTTGCAACGTGAGTGAGAGTCCCAAAGGCTGTGGTGCCTGCCTTCTGCCAGGATTAAGGATTAGACCTCTGGGTTAGGGAAGAATTTGGAGGCGGAGGGTAGAGTTTTCATTGTCATCAACCACATTGGTACCACTGACATTGATAGGACTAGTAAGGAGGTTTCACTGAAAGATTTTGAACAGTTAGGACCTAATTTTAAAAGGCAGAACCTCCAAGGTGGTAATCTTGGGATTGCTATTGGAGCCACGGGAAAACTGGCATAGTAAATAAAGTCAAGAAGTTAATGTGTGGTCAACTTGAAGTTGATGTGGATGGAATGGAGAGGGGAAATTGAGGCTTATGAAGCAAGTGGTTATAACAACATTACAGGACAACTATTTGGATAAGAATACCTAGAGTGGGACAGGAAGGGAGAGTGCACAAGCATAGAAAAACAGCAGTAAATAAGATTTGGGGAGGTGGTGGAATGGTTAAATAATACAAGATTAATGGCACTTTACTTGAATGTGCATGGTATTTGAGACAAAATAAATGAATTAATAACCCAAATAGAGGTTAATAGATATAGTAGCCGTTACAGAGACATGGTTACAGGAGATCAAAGCTGGGACCTAAATATTCAGGGGCATGTGACTTTTCAAAAGCACGGCTATGAAGGGAAGTGGTGGGTGGCACTGTTATTATAGGGTGGAATGAATCCTGCAGCAAAAAATGATCTTGGATCAGAAGATATAGAATCCATATGGGTGGAGAGGTAAGAAATAAAAAGGGGAAAAAGACACTTGTAGTAGCCTATAGGTCCTCTAGCAGTAGCTACTAGGTAGGACTGAGAATAAACTAAGAGTTAATGAGGACATCTACTGCATTTTTTTTTACATTATTCATGGGTGGCTTTAAGCTTTATTTAGGTTAGGTTAGCCAGATTGGCAGGGGTAGCCACAAGGAGGAATTCATAATATGTGTGTTGGGATAGGTTCCAAAAATACGTTGTGGATCCAACCAGGGATCAGGCTAATTTGGACTTGATAATGTACAACGTGACAGTTTTAATAAATGTCAGAGCTAAAGATTCCCAAGGAAACAATGACCATAATATGGTAGGATCCTGTTTGAAAGGGACAAACTTGGGTTGGAAACAATCGTGCTAAGCCTAACTAAAGGGAATCTGCAAGAAATGAGGACAGAGTGTGCAGCAGTGAACTGGGAACTGAGTTTAACAGCAAAGGTGGTTGAGGAAAAAGGCAGGTGTTTGGCAAAATAGTTCATGGTGCATAGTAAGGATCTATCCTGTTTGACAAAGGAATCTAGGAAGGGGATAAGCCAACATGGTTAATCAAATAAGTTAAGGCTTGCATCAAATTGAAAGAAAATAATGTACAATGTGGCAAAAATTAGCAGTAAACCATAGGGCTAGGAGTGTTTTAAAGTCCAACAAAAGACAATTTTAAAAAAAAGTAAACTTGCTGACAGTTTTAATATTACCTGTAAGAGCTCCTTTTTTAAATACATAAAGAAGTTAATATAGGCCCCTTTTGGAGAATGAGGTTGGGATAATGATGATTGGGAATCGGGAAAAGGCAGAGGATTTGAATAAACACTTGTCATCTTTCTTCATAGTAGAATACACTAATAGTATTCAAAATCAAGGGGTGAAGAAGGAAAGGCAATAAGCACAACAACTACTAGCAGAGGAAAAAGTGCTAGGGAAACTAATAGTGCTAAAGGCAAATGAATCCCCAGACCTGATGGTTGCACCCTAGGATATTAAAAGGAATAGCTACAGAGATAGTGGTTGCTCTGGTAGCAATCTTCCAAGAATCCTTAAATTCTGGAAAACTATCAATGTATTACCTATTTGAAAAGGGAAGGGACCTCTGTTATTGGGAAAATGTTAGAGTCAATTATAAAGGATGTGATAGCAGAGCTTTTAGAAGTACGTAATATGATCCAGCTAAGTCAGTATGGCTTCATAAAGGGGGAATCAGTCCTAACAAATGTATTCGAATTACTTGAAGTAATAAGCAGGATAATGAAATGGAAGCAGTAGATATATATTTGAATTTCAAAAGGCATTTAAAAAGTACATAATTTTAGACAATATAAAAGCCCTTGGTGTTGGAGGTAATATGTGAGCATAGAGGATTGGCTAACAAATAGAAGACCAGTTGGGATGTTGTAGGTGAGGCAGGAGTGCACATTTGCAGTATGGTAACCTGCAGCAATCCACTAGTTACAAGTCTAGCACTGGGGCCACCATTATTTACAACAGATATTAATGACTTGGATAACAAAAGTGAATGTACTATCGCCAAATTTGCAGAAAAGACAAAAGTAGATCTGAAGGCAGGTGCTAAGGATGATGAGTGTCCAGAAGTGTTATAGACAGGTTAAGCAAGTGGGCAAAAACTTGGCAGATGGAATATAAAAGGAGTGTGATGAAATACTCCCCAGTTCCTGGATGAGTGCAGCCCCGACAACACTCGAAGCTTGACACCATCCAGGATAAAGCAGCCCGCTTGATTGGCACTACATCCACAAGCATCCACTCCCTCCACACCAATGCCCAGTAGCAGCAGTGTGTACTATCTACAAGATGTACTGCAGAAATTCACCAAAGATCCTCAGACAGCACCTTGCAAACCCACGACCACTTCCATCTAGAAGGACAAGGGCAGCAGATAAATGGGAACACCACCACCTCCAAGTTCCCCTCCAAGTCACTCACCATTTTGACTTGGAAATATATCGCCGTTCCTTCACTGTCGCTGGGTCGAAATCCTGGAATTCCGTCCCTAATAGCATTGTGGGCCAACCCACAGCAAGAAGGCAGCTCACCACCACCTTCTCAAGGGCAACCAGGGATGGGCAAGAAATGCTGGCCAGCCAGTGACGCCCACATCCCACAAAATGAATAGGAAAAAAAAGGGAAATGTGAGGTTATGCACTCTCGCGAAGATTAAAAGAGCTGAATGTTCTTTAAATGGAGAAACTACAGAAAGCCACAGCACAGAGATCTGGGAGTACTTGTGCATAATCACAAAAAGCTAGCATTCAAGTTCAGTGGATAATAGGAAAGGTAAATAGATTGGCCTTTATTTCAAAAGAAATGGAATTTTTTTAAAAAAGGAAAGCTTGTTAAAACTATGCAGGCACTCATCATGCCATTAGCTGAAATAGGTTTGGGCTCTGTATCTAAGGAAAGATGTACTGACATTGGAGGCCGTCGAGAGATGGTTTACTAGGCTTATGTTGGGTATGGTGGAACTGAAGAGATGTGGAGTAACTTGGGTCTGTACTCATTGGAATTTAGTAGAATAAGAGGTGCCCTTATTGAAACATAAACAACCCTTGGGGGACTCGACTGGTTAGATGCACAAAGGTCGTTTTCCCCTGCGGCAGAGTTTAGGACCAGAGGACATTCTCGGAATAAAGAGTCATTCTTTAAGGCGGAGATGAGGAATTTCTTCTGAAGGTAGTGAATCTGTGGAACTTGTCACCACAGAGGACTGTTGAGTCTGTGTCATTATGTACATTCAAGGCTGAGATTCATTAATCAGTAATGAAATCAGTGGTTTGAGGATTATCAGAACAGACTCGATGGGGTGGATGGCTTTATATGATCTTGTGATCTCGGATGGTTTTCTCTGAACACAACATTTGTTTTTAATGTATTAAAGCACTGCAGCCATATACTAAATGCCTTTCTGTGATATGGAAGTAATTTTTACATGATCTCTAGACGGTGGCATTATGGGACCTTCGAAATCTAAAATTAAAGCTCCACTCCTTTGAGTCTCACAAGGATGAGATCTTTCAGGTAAGCAGTTTTAGATTTTACTTGGAATTAAGCTGTTTTCAATCTCTGAATACTTTCTTGATCAAATTTTTCACTTGTCACTGAATTGATCTTTTATTTCGATGCATACAAATGCAAGAAGGAAATGTATCCTGTTGTGGTTGGTTGGCTCGCTGAGCTGGTTCGTTGTTCCGCAGACATTTCTTTACCCTGCCGGGTAGCATCATCAGTGCAGTCTCTGATGAAGCACTGTTGTTGGCTTCATCGGAGGCTGCACTGATGATGTTACCCGGCAGGGTAATGAAACGTCTGCGGAACGATGAACCAGCTCAGCGGGCGAGCCAACCAACTACAACATCCACAACCCATGCTACAAATCTACTCTGAAATCTTAAATGTATCCTATTAGGGCTGTAGGAGGAATAATTCAATCTTTTTATTTTTGAAAAAGCTAATTTTTCTTTGTAAAGATTGTAGATATTGCTTAGTTCACACCTTCTTAAGATTTCTAAGGAATTAGGATTGCGCATAGCAAAAATGAATCTGCCCAGAAACCTGTCATTCACTTGAAGATCCAAATTCCTTTTCCATTTGATTTCTTAACTACATGGTTAATAGTTTAATGTAGCTGTGAGGACTACACATGTTGAATGGTAATTGCTTGGTATGCTGTGTAATTGGTATTTGACAATTTAAAAAAAGCCTAGTTTTTTTAATATTGTTTTGCTGGTTTTTTTTCTATGGACTGAAATTTGCAGTATATCTCCCACTCAGCAGGTTTAGCCAATACAAAAGAAACATACTTAGTTCTCTTGAGTTCTGCTTCAGTCGAATAGGATGAAGTGAATACAAATGGAACTGGATTACGTACTGAGGATGGGCTTCCTGCACCCTAATAAGTGTTGGGGGCAAATCTGCCTTCACTTGGTTTGCTCAGGAATTTTTCAGACCTCCTACCCTTTCTGTTATGTAGGATGGGAGCTCCACCTGCCTCTCTGTGGGAACACCCCTCCCTCCTGCCCACTTCAGAATTGCTGGACAGTCGGAGGCCAACATCTTTGGGCCACAGCAGAGGCCATGGAGGAAGAGAGCCATGGACACAGCGGAACCCAGCTAAGTCGGTTACTTCACTGAGTCGTGCCATGGGCTCCAATTTAGCACAGTGGACCTGGG